GTTATAAATGGATTATGAAGTCATTGTTAAAAACCAAAACAAATATTAGGAATGTAACATGTAATTTTTACATAAATTTATATATATTATCGCAATGTCGTTTTGTGACATATATAAATTTCTGCGAAATAATAAAAATTGTTTAAAAAAAAATCGAAGAAAAGACAAACACACGTGACGTAAAAAAGTCACAAATGCGTTGGCATTTGTCACATTTGAATATCAGGAACGATTAGATGAAATCATATGCAGCAATCAATACATAATATTTCATCAAGATCGTTCACAATTGAGCAATACGTGACATCATCTGTATAAGTATGTCAATGTGGCGCAGAATTTTAATTGTGAAAAAACTCACGTACAGTTATGCTCTCCATTTTCGTTTAATGATATTTTATCTAGGCGTTTGTATTGTAATTAGCGTTGGTATTTTAGTAGTAACGCTCGTCCAATGCTATCGCACTTACTGCACGCATTAAACTAGTTGAGGATCGACAATAAGAATATCGCAAGGGTTATCATCATGGGAAGATAATATATCTATTGACTGACGTATTATTGACGAACACGAAGTCTTACGAGAAAATAAGTTGACCTCTGAGGACTCCTTTCGAAATTCAGTTTTCCGACTTTGTTGAATAGATTTGCCGAGAGTAAACAATTTTTTCAATTGGATACTTATCGCAAGTTAAATTAATCGATTTATTATAGATGTGAGGAAAATTACATCGATAAGATAATCTGTCAATAACTTGATCAAAAAATTTTATCGTGAATTACACAACTGTTTTATCGTAAGGAGGTCGCAATGCTAGAATGCATAACATTCCAAAATAACATCCACATTGGTAACATAACAGCAGTGGCGACATTGTAGAACCAATTACCGTATATCATAGAATCAACAATGCTGAAAACAAGTGCCTGCTTATTGGCGCGATAGCTTCTGAGAAACAGGGATAAAATGGGATCGGTAGGAAAATTAAGATACGTATAACCCATTACAACAATAGCCGACGAAATAAATGGATGCAGCATGATCCACACGATATATTGGCAGCAGCGGAATCTGTAAAAGCGAAATGTTAATTTCAAACATGCAAATTTTAAATATGAGAATATGAGAATCAATTTCAATCGCGCTCACCTGGACGCAGATTCATGATGCGGTGTTATCAAAAATACAATTGGCACATACACAACGGCCGTCACTAATGCTAATGAGAAATTGTGCATAGCTATACACATTAATGCGGTAGCTAGCTCAATTAAAGCAATAACGAATATGAGCAATATATTTTCGTATTTAATTGATCTACAAATTATATTTATTAGTAATGCGCAATTAAATCGTGCAATACTTTCTTGTTTTACCTCTTCAGATAAAAGCGCCCAAATATCGTGAGAATCGTGATTAAGGCAAAACTGATGTATAATGAATCCTCTGTACGTAGATTCAACATCTGTGATCCGATTAAAGTGAAAATTCGAGGAGAAGCCATTATTAGTACTCCAAATATGTGCGCCCACAACACTTCGGAAGCGATACTTCCAATGTCAAATTTGTCGACCTGTTCAGTAAAATAGAAATATTTGTGAAATCACAATAAAAAATATATTAACTAAATGTAGAATTTTGCTACCTTATTTGATAAACTTTGTTTATTCTTTTTTGTTTCATTCGAATTATTTGATGTCTGTAATCTTTGCCAAATAGAAAATGCCTTTATAAACAAACTAGCAATCATTAGTACTAAAGGTCGCATATATAATCCTGCAAAATAATTTTGATTTATTCATTTATCCGTGTTTAAAAGTAGTAGTTTGTATTCAAAAGATATTTATTTCTTTTTCTTACCAATAGAAATGTATCGATCGGTAGAAGGTAATAAATAGAAAAAATACGACTGATGGAAACGCTCTAATAAATTATTAAGTGATCTCACTATACTTTCTACTATGCGTCCTACTTGGTAAAAATTTGTTCCCGTTTCTTTTCCAGATTTTTTGAAACCTTCTAATGTAATGGCTTCAATACCAAACCTAAAGACAAATTTTAGTTAAATGTGAAAAATAGTATTACTAAAGACATAAAAGATTAAAATTTAAATATACATGTTATATATATACATGTATTAAATAAAAATATTTTTTAATTTAATAAGTCTAAAAGTCTCTACTGATAACTTAATAAGTCTTTATATAAATGTTTCTACTGATTTATTTTGTCCAATACTATATATATGCACATATACCTCTTTCTTACTTTATTTTATAAATTGTACCTGTGGAAGAGTCCATGATTACCAGTTGGAACACCAGTAGCTTGCGTCGCTACCATGCTCATTAATGTGTTAAAATGATACCACCAACTTTTAAATTTATCCCTATAATTAACATCAAATCGACGTTGGAAAGACTGTTGAATGCCTTCTTTAGCTATCATGTTTTGTGCTAAGTTAAAAAGATCTAAATTGGGAAGCTGTCCATTTAGACCTTCTACCTAAGAACAAAAATGATTTTAGACGGATATAATTATATAAATATATATAGTTTTTAAAATTTATATACCTTCACATCAATTGACGTGATTTTCATTGCATGAAACTCAAGATTAATAGCAGCTTGGATAGATCCAGCTCTGCCAGATAAATCTCCTGCTAGCAAGATTCCTTCCTGGCCACTGGTAGATCCATGATATGCATCTAGCCATGCTTGCATACCTAATTGTTCATGTTCTGTTACAAGAAATATTATATCTTTTGCCCAATATTTTTGTTCTATAAACAAATTATCAATTATTAAAAAATATATTATGATATATCATTTGTTAATCATTGAATAATAATTTATGGAGATTTACTTCTGCAGAACTTTGCGAACGCAAGTAATAAAGCTACTGAAGGTGCAGTATCTAAATATATGCTGTTGATAGGTCTATATGGCACACTGACTACAATAGCTTCGGTACTGGATGCTCGTGGAGCTCTGACAATACCATAAACATTTTGTCCTACAAACTATAAAATTTTGCATATATATGTGTAGAAAGTGAAAGATTATCATTTATTTTAAAATTATATTACCTTCTGTTCCTGAAATGGATAAATTAAAGAAAAATTATGTACAAATACATCTAAATGAAGCTGACTGAATTTTGCCGAGAGCCATGCATAAGGCATATTATCTGGATATCTCTTCATCTCGTGACTAAGTTCATAGTAATATTGCTTTGACGTTTGTTCTAAGTTACTTTCTTTCGTGACTAATCCAGGTAATAAAGCATTCTCAGAAAAATAAGTATCTAAAAATTAAATTAGTTTATAAATACGAATTAAAATTATGGCATTATGCCTTTAATTCTTTAAAATTTGTATTTATAGAAAAACCACACATACTGTCATTAAACGCCGGTAACGCTAAAAGCATTAACCATACAACTCCTCCTATATATAATACAAAGCACAATGGTTTCTCCCATTTTAATAATAATTTTATGATTTTGCCGGTTCCAGCTCTAGGATCCGTAAGTAAACCCATCTCACTTGTTTTATAGACAAATATAATTCAAAATTTAAAAATGTAATCACTCTTCACTTCCTAAAATGTCAATAATCTAACCTAAAATCTCATATACATCAAAGAAAAACCTAGGAGCGTTCATTGTTTCTTCGCGGGTGCAGGCTTCTACAATATTTAGCGCTCACACATTCATAAGCATTATTATCTTTGTTTAACATTTGATAAATAACAAGGATGAAATGATTCCATAAGCTTTGCAAACTTTGCACATGCGCAGTTTGATTGTGATATACCCTAACGCTTATAGCGCCTCAACGTCCATTTTTACGATATAGGAACTAGATACACATCTATTTTGTGAAACTGTCGATAAAATCGTAATATTGGAAATGGATATGATATGTGTCTGTGCTAATAAGATTTTTTTCTCTGCAATTATCATCTCTATTTATAATCAAACTTGGATGATGACATTAACATACATTTAAACTGAAAAAATTTAATTTAAATAAAAATTTTTTTTTATGTAAAAACACTTGGCATTGCTAAATCGAATAAGAAAAACTATGAAAATAATTAATTTATCATGTGCGCAAAAAAATATAATATAAATTTATTTTTTGGTAGAAAAATTTTTCTGAAACTGCAAAAATTTTGTTGAAATTGATATTAGCATATATTTTATGAATCATTGAAGAAGCAGTTTCCAATCGCAGAAGTCAAAGTATGCTATATTAATACCACAAATAGTTAATTATTGAATTTCGAGGGAATTTGTTTTTTTTTATCATATAATTTTATCATGTGTTCTCTCAAATATGATACTAATTATAATATCTATATTTTAGCACATGAAAACTGGATTAATTAATTTTTGTTTTTTAAAATTTTAGCGAAATTCGCAGTAGTTAGTGATAATTGAGCAAAGAGCAAGATATTGTAATTGTAATTGATGGCAATGGAGAAGAATATCGAATAGAAGAAAAACTCTAAACAAAATATTGTAGAAAACTAATTCTAAATATATAATATCATTTATGAACCACTCTTTGGACTAAAACAATATGCACGTTAAACATTATTTCGCAGTTGTAATATTCTTGAAAATTTTAAGCCTGGTTATTGCAGATTCATGTAATAAACTAAGAAGATGTAGTTTTTAAAAGGAGAACAGTCAATGTAATAAATTGGAAACAATAAGACAAATATATTTAATATAGCTTTTATATATAGGACGTTCAGTGATATAAAGGAAGTTATATATACATACATAAATAACAGAAATATAATGCAAAAAAAATAAAGAATGCAGAAATATAAAATAAAGTATATAATGACTTAGATTCTTCTCTTTACTATTTATTGTTTCCAATACTAATATTGTTCTTTGTATGATTCACAATCCGATTATTTTTTATTTATCATAATTCTTATTTGTTTGCACTCCAACGAGCGCGTTGGATTGAGTAGGAGTTATGATAGGAACATGTTGGAGCATGTTGGAGTATGCTAGAGCATGCAACACAAATAAGCCTTATATCTTCTTTTTCAGTATATAACACGTCGGGAATTGATTTATCTGAGTGCAAGATATCTCAACTAGGAATTGAGTATAAAGGTTTTATTAACATAACTGTTAGTGGATTTCGTTGCCAATTATGGACAACCGCACAACTACTTCATAAAGTTAGTTTACGACACAAACCTGCATTCTGTGTGTGATAAGTAAGATAATATAAAAATATGATGAACGTCTCGAATTCTGCTTCATAATTTCTATGTATATCATATTATGTCATTATTATTTATTACAATATTATATCATCAAAGTACCGCGGATACTTTTTAGATGACCCAATATATATGGTATTCCAGAATGAACGTGACTTTGTGCGCAGGTACCATCGCATGTTATTATAGATGTAAATAACTCAAGCAGTGCGTTTGCTAGACAGTTCTCGTTCTTCGTGCTCTAAGTGAATGTGACCGATGATGAGCGCGTTTTTGATGGTAGATCACATATACGGATATATGCTTGTTAAACAATTTTTAGAAATTAATATCTCGTTAAATATTGTGAAAATTACAAAATAATACAGAATTTTTCGATCCAGTTTAGTCTGCTCTACTTGCTCACAAAAGGTATTATAGTCATTCTGGGATATATTTTTTGAGATGTATACAATAAAATATTGCAAGTTCTAAAATTGCAAGTACGTTTTATTGTATGAATTTAAGTAAGTATTTTATAAGTATTTTATATCTATCATGGAAAATACAATACTATAAGCGAAGAAAAATAGATATTACAACTGAAATCATTGTAAGATTATTGTACAAATTGTAACTTCATAACGACGATATTTATTACGCGCGTGATATTTCGGTGCGGTTTATTAGTTTGTGATTTGCAAATTTAATTTTGTGTATTGTGGGCATTTTTTATATAAAATGGAGAAATTATCATAATTTTGTCATATATTTCTATAAAATTTATAAGCATTTATTATAATCTTTGATGTGATGCATAACTTTCGATATTATATATTCTGAAGTTTTTCTTGGCTATATCTCTTATATTCTATACGTTACATCATTAAAATTTAATTAAATTTTTTTTATTATTAGAATATAAGTGACACAGATTTTCCGGAGAAATCTATGGAACTTGCAAAAAATTATTGTAGAAATCCTACTCGAGATCGAAGAGGTCCTTGGTGTTACACGTTAGATTCTACAGTAATTGATGAGGAATGCGATATTCCTTTTTGTGATTATAAAGGTAAATATTACTAACTTAATATATAATATAATACATGTTTTATACATGTACATATAATAAGTTTTAATAAATGAATATAATATATAATCGTGTCAATACATAAACAACAAACTCGAACAGAAGTTTTAATAGATCCGCGGATTCAACTGCATCTACATTAAAAATACGTTCTACTGCAAACATAATGTGATAGCATGTTGACAAAAAAATATCGTGTTTAATTTCTATAATCAATTTGTGTTAAACTATGTTTAAATCTATATGAAGATTATACATTTCGCGGGTTTCCTCCGTGTCCAGATCTATTCTTGGAATGCCAACGTTTCGTGAACTTTGCAGTCCACTTCATCATGGCGAGGAACAGCCTGATACTCGACACGGAGGAAATCTGCGAAACGCATAATCTTCATATAGAAAGCATCCATGGAAGTCTCAAGAATATATATTTAAATCTGTTTATTTTTTTGTTTTTAATTCGCAATTATATTTTATTGCTGATTTTTTTTATAACATGATATATAGAATGTCTGAATTATTAACACAATGATCGTGAGTAGGTAAAGCAGACTAACTAAATAAAAAAGTCCTACATAATTTGGTAACTATTATAACAGTTAACAAAATCTAATTCATAATTATTACAAATTAATCTTTAATTAAATATAAAAATTAATATCTTTTTAATAATCTAATAGTACCACATGTTAAATAAATTAATGGGAATTGAAACAATTTTTTTCGTTTCTACAGAATGTCGAATGGCTGGAACTGCTAATGACTATATAGGTACATTATCAACAACTCGTTCAGGTCGAACTTGTGCGAAATGGTTGAAAAATTATAATTTCGAACAGATACAAAGATCGAACGCATCATTGAAAACAAAACCTTCTTCTAGATTTTTAAGATTGATTCGCACAAAATCTCTCTCGAAACGCTATTTGATGACAAAACAAAATTTATTGACATCATCGCAATTATTTATGAAACCACCATCATTAAATTTATCTCAATCAGGATTTAAAATTGACAAACATATCAATTTTGTTGACCAAACATATTTGAATGACAGTCTTTATCCTGAACTTAGTGTACAAAAAGCTAATAATTATTGTAGAAATCCTTCGCGCAATATTGCTGGCACATGGTGTTATACAACGGATCCATTGGTACCACAAGATCTGTGTAATATAAGAGATTGTGAAAAGTCGGGTAAAGTTTCAATTAAGTTGTTAATAACAACAAAACATTTATTTTTAAATTGTGACAGATATTCAAAGAAAATTCAATAGAAATATCAAGGAAAATTCTCTTCCATATTTTTAAAATGTATTTCATTTTTGAAACATTCTATATTCACAATTATTATTATGCCATCTCGGAAAAAAGTGTTATATATAATATGGACATATTTTATATATAATTATATATAATTGTCAATTTTTTATACAATTATATATAATTTTATAATTATATATATGTAATTATATATGAAACATTCTTTTCCCGTGACGTTTAACATTTATGTCATAGTTATATAACCACGTATTGTCATATCATATATAGATAAAGATATAAAAATAAATTAAATAAATTTAAAAGACAGAAAGTTACAATAGTGAATATAAAACATTATTAGGGATAATAATAGCTAACAATGTTGTAGGATTTTAAAAAACATTTAACAATGCAAGTTATTATAATGTTTAAATCTTTCTTAGGGTGAATATTTTAACATTGCTGCAATTTTAGGGGAATGTTGCAATAATATTTCGCAATATACATATTTGTAACATTACAATCTTCCAATGAAAAATATTTCTGTAAAATATGTATTTATAAATCCATTTATGCCACATGGGTAAACATGGATAAATGTATTTGTATTTATTCTATAGAAGAATGTACATTTTTCGTGAAGGGACACGGCATTGGACGACGATTATACGTTTTACCAGAATATCGTACAGAAGGCTTACGTTTCTCATTAAAAACATGGGAACCTGATCATCCAGATTCCATAACATTTGTGTTCACTGCTGACGATGGATTAAAATCTCGTTATATTCTTAAGATTGGAGCTTTCGATAACGAGAAAGTACTCTTGTATTATGAATCAGAAGAAAAAGGTAACTTGAAATCATGCATATTTATAATACATTTTATCTATAAATTAATCTATTCCTTAATTATTCATTAGACATAATTTTGGTGAAGAAAAAAACATTACCACATTTATTATATCTTGGCAAATGGAGCAACTTTATTATTCGTATACCTCGAGGACATGTTCTTCTTTATTATGAAGGAACATCAAATCCACTATTTGAATGGAAACATCCTGAACCATCCAAAGCATTTTTACCAATTTATTATTATTATAATAGCGAAAAAGGTCATGCGATAGGAGTTGCTTTCGATTGTGCCTCAAGTATATTTTGTTATTTAAAATGAGTATTTACAATTATTTCCATTTTTTTTCCCATTATTTTTCGTTCTACTATCATACAGGATGCCATATAGAGAACACACAAACCAATCGTTATACTAGAATACTTCCACTATCAATATGGTCTAAAGAAGATGTAGTCAGACCTAATAAACTAATGTTAATGATTCGTGCCAAAGGTGTTGTTCTAATACCATTACTTTTATTGCCTGCAACATCAGGGTAAATAAAAATAATTATTTCGCTAATCTTTATTTTTATTTATAACTGTTACATTTTATAGATTTTATGCACTTACACTCGGTGAACGAGGTCAATGGATATATTTCTTGAAAAATACATATCCTAGAGTAAGAATTTATCACAAAGAGAACGCACTCAAACCAATATTCAATACGAATTTTTGGACAAATATTACCATAAAGTAATCAACTGTTGAACATATATTTGCATATTCTATGGAATCTAATTAAAATATATAATTCAACCTATTTATGATTTTTCGTGATTTTGTCGGAAAGATGGTCTGAAAATACGATTGAAGTATTTTGCAATAAGACAAACATATTTTATTATGTGCATCGTCAACCGCTCATTTTTTATTTTTTTTCGCTTGCTGTGGATCCAAAAGATTGGGCTACTTGGAGTGCAAATTGCATACCATCAGGTATAATATAGGAAAAAGATCGAATATTTTAGAAAAAAAATTTTAAATAAAAAATTTATAATAATAAAATAATATTAAGGATTTTTATATTCCTATTTATTAGTTTTAATAATATTTTTTATTCATTATAGAGTATCAAAAATAATAATTATTATATCGTGTTTGAACTGTTGATATTGAAGCTTATTATTTATAATTATTTAATTGTATATAGATATCGATGGACCTCCTTTAGATGGCGGATGGTCAGAATGGGGACCATGGACGTGTAGTGTTAGTTGTAACGGTGGTATAGGAACTAGAAGTTATTTTCTAATTATTTACTAATATTTAATAATGTTTTCATTTTTCTATTAGTTAATAAAATATTTTGTTTTCGAAATATTTTATTAAATATTTCTGTATGTAAAAGAATATACCAAGTATCTCATTTTAAAAGAATCATCTCTCCAAAAAAAAGTAATTTCTTCAAAATCACATAAAAGCAATTGCCATTTTAAAAATAAAATTATTATAATAATTGTTTTATTAATATGCATTTTTCTTTATAAAATATTATAAAGTATTAAAATTCTTTTGTATATAAAATAGAATTATGAAAAAAACAGCTTTCAAAAGATAAATATCTCATTTTTTTTATATTTAAAAATTTTTGTAATATTCTTTACAAGCTAATGATATTTTTAAGAAGATATTTTATTATATCTTCCTAAGTCATCTTATTTTTTACCAAATAACGAATAATTAGAATATACATGTTTCTAATGATTTTTAACTATATAAAGAAATATCATGTGATATCACATTATATAATATTATGTAATATTATGTAATATTATATCGAGTATTTGTCTTTTTTTGTATACTAATTATTTTAAAAATATGTTATAATAATTTTTATTTGTATTTTTAATTGTAGATACCATAACTTTAATAAAAAAAGTTATCGCATATAATCATACTGCTTTTACTGTGAAGGAATATGCATCAGTATCACTCCCTTCAGATTCTAATATTGTGAACACTATTAGAATTGAATCACCTAATTCTGAAATACAGTGGTCCCATAATGGAATTTTTATTCAAAACAATCATAGACGGGAAATTAAAGATTACGAAATCAGTACGTAATATAACATTTATTCACAATAATTGATTATTTATACGTAATGATAAATTAACAACGTAATATATAAATTAACATACATAATTTTGTTAATATTTACAGTAATAAATAGAACAGCATTAAATGATTCGGGTGTATATACACTTACTGTACATCGAATAGATGGAATATATATGATAATTAAGGTGATAACTTTGGCAGTAGTTCCTATTAAAGAAAGCATTACTATTCGTGAAACTCTACCTATGCATATTACATGTCACTGTGCTATCCTCGGTTATGTATATTCTAATTTGAAAATTTATTGGATGATCAATGGTAACGTATGGAAAGACTATGGAGTTACATTGCCTGTAGCTACAAATGTTGATTATGTTCCTACTATAAATAAGTCTCATCACGGTATATGGAAATGCATCGTGGAACAAACTGACTTAAAATTTAAATGGACAACAAATGTAATCCGCGTGAAAGGTACGAAATATATTTAATAAATATTTTTTTAAACATCAGAATGATTTAATATTATTATATATTTAAATGTTAAATAGAAAATAATCAAGATTCTCTCAGTAGATAGTCAGATTCTGCTCGGTTTCTGCCAATTTGTTGACATAGGATGCGTTTCGAATTATGCATGAAGCACATGATGTATCCTTCTTTATTAATGGATAAACAACAAGAACGATGCATCATGCGCTTCATGCGTAACTTAGAACGTACCAATAGAATGTTCAACAGATACTGTCGATAGAATAGAAGCAGAATGCGATATTAGTTGAAGTCAATCTAACTAACACATCTGATCAAATCTGCTACTAATCTGTCGACATTCTATTAACATTTTGCTATCTGGTTAATATTCATACGGCTATGTAAACGCACATACATACACATATATGCCTGTTGAAGCGTTTGATAATAAATTTATTAATATTATGAACATTCTTATAAAAATCGTTTTCAGTTGTAAGCAAAAAGTTGTAGCAATATTGCAGTGTTATTGCAGCGATATTACTGCAATTAATTTTGTGCTGTAGATTTTGTGCTATTTATTAATCAAAACGATGGAAAATTATTTTACTTTCTGTAGAAAATATTGTTTCTTTTCCAAATACTTTTATTACTGAAAATTTTGTGTACTGTCTATGAAACATTTTTATCTTATGAAATATTTTTATCAATCGGACAAGTTCTTAACCCTCCAAATTGGCGTACTCATTTAATGGAAGATAAACTAACTCGACCAATTTTTGGATGGATGCGAAACGAAAAATTTGTGGCTTATTCAGTGTTGGTTATGATTCTATTTTTAATATGTTGCATTATAATAGGTTTCATATTTTATTTCAGGTAATAATTTATATAATAATTTAGTCATTATTAAGTATTGTATAATATACAAAGTGTCCCTGATCTACGGGATCACCTTTTGTAAGCAGGTAGAATGGATTGAATTGAATCGAAAAGTTCTTTATCATTTTGTAATTTTTGCAATACATTAGAAGATATTAATTTCTAAATATGAATAAGTTGAATGGTCATGGTTGCTTGATGTTATGGCTAGAGTTATGGCATAGATCCGGGACATCCTGTATATTGGATATTCTAATTTTTTGTTGTCTTTTTATACTCATTTAAACAACAACAAAAATTATCTCTGACAAAATATCGTGGCACTGCCGAAGACATTTCTACTAGAGAATTTTTATATCAGGGATATTTTAATTTTATAATAAAAACTTAATTTTATAATGCCTAAAGATTTTATAAATACGATAATTAATAAAATATATATTGTACTAGAACTTACTATTGTATATTTGTTCTACGATAAGGTTTCGAAAAAGCTTGATGCAACGACGGTGAAGAAAAAATGTGCGAAGAAAAATTTAACAGTGAAGAAAAATAATAGAGGAGAGAAATTCTATTATTGGTAATATTTAGAAAGGTGGAAAATGAAAATATAACATCTAATTTTATTAAATGTAAAAGATTGTGCAAGACATTTAAAAATAATGGTTTCGAATAAGAAAATATTAGGTGTTGGAATTAATTCGTAGCGTTTTTAATGAAAGAATGTTATTTATTTCACATGAGCAAAAAATACATTAATGAAAGTACTTCCCATCACTTGTAAAACGCTACGAATTAATTCCAACACCTAATAGAAAAAAAATTACAATTAATTAAAATCATATCAAAGCGAAGAAATCTTACTGAAATAAAATTTAATGAGAGATTTTATGTATAAAAATTGTTGAGGAAAATTAAATTAAATTAAATTAATACCTAAAGGTATTATTTAAAATATTGTATAAAATATTGTACATTAAGGTTTCTCCTTTTTTCGAGATTTTTATATCAAAATAATTATTTCAATAAGTAAGGTCTTGTAATAAGTATAAAAATCAGATATTTATGTCGTGACAAATACATTTCATTGTATTTCTATACAATTTTAAATTTTCAGTCTCGGTGCGAATATGAGCTCTCTATAATCAGAATATCGAGGAAATTTGTCGATAGTTGCGCATATTGTTGAATTCTTCAGTTATAGTCGAAAATGTATAAGCGAAATGAGACACCAATGGGAATCAAATGAGAAGGAAGGATAAATGAGAGTAAAAAGAGCTTCGAGAAAGAGAGCACGAGGATCTCTGTGCCTCTAGTGCGGGAAAGATTTGCTTTACAGGGGAAGAAGTAACTGGTGGGGAGTGAGCAGTTGCCAGCAGATTAGTAGAACAGACCTGATGGAAGCACGATGAAAACAGAGAAAAAGGTACGATGAAGGCTATTTTCTGGAAACAGTAGTAGGAGAGACAAGAACAGACATTGTAAGAAGATAGGGAACGTAGAAAAAGAGAGAGAGAAAGAAAAAGAAAGAGGAAAGAAGAGAAAAAGAAAGGAAGAAGGAGCGAAGGAAAGGGAGAATAAAGAGCGACAGGTGCGCGGACATCCACGTGGTTTCTTTGAAGCATCGTCGCGAATGGTGCAAGAGCGAAGAAGAAGAAGAAGAAGAAGAAGAAGACAACGATGACAACAGCGACGAAGATGACGAAGAAGACGAGGAGGATTACCGGTCGGCTTCCTTATGCCGGCTGAACAGATCGGCACTCGCTCCACACTCAAGTTACCCTCACGCCAAGTGCATGTGGTGGGGTGAACATTACACTGGCGTAGAGTCTATTTTGTTTGGATAAATCATGATTCTTCACACATAAATGTTCACAAATGTATCAGTTACTTAAATGAAGAATTAAAGACGTTACGAAGAAACTAATAATAGCTTGCCTCATCTATTTCTTATACTTTTGTTCATAGGAGAACATTATAAATTTCTCATATATCATTCATTCCAGGATGTTGTTAACAGTGGCTCGATCACATGACAGCGAGCGGCTGATGAAGAGTGGAGAAATCCAGTCGAGGCCAGTCGAATATCCCTAAGGCTATTTCCTACTACGCCGATGAAAAAGAATAATAATCACGACGAGAGCTCGGTGGGGCGAGTGGGAATAGGTGGTTTCGAGAGGGGAAGGGCTCACCATTCGGTAGCAAATGCTGCTAACCCGTCGCAAGGTCAAGATCAGTCGGTTAATCCCGTCCAGTCGGCTGAGGGCCTTGCACCTTGCACAACGAATGATTCTATTTCTCCGTTTGTTTGCATTCTCGTATATACGTGTATGTGTTACTCCGTGTTTTAATATAATATGCGACAAATATATACATATTAACGCGTAATTAACAAATTATTATCGTGATAACGTTTGAAGATTAAACAAATTGTTTTTAAAGAACGTGTGATTTTATTTGTTCTACGTTGAAATTTATTAACATATACTTTTCGTTTGATACGCAATATACTAAATGTGTTTTGATTTTATTTCGCTAAAACATTCTATTTTGATGGTGGAATTACAGATATATTCAAAATAATAATTTACAAAGTGGAAGTACCGGTATAGTGTGATAAATCCTTAAAATACTTTTTTCCACGCGAGTCTCTGTTATGGAAACTTGTGTATTGATACCTAGAGAATTTTCCTTGGTCCTTACCAACGATCAGTCAGCCTGCAAGAATCTCTTCAAGAATGATTCAAGCATATTGGATATGAGAATTTCGGTATGGTCGAATGTATTTATTCCATCGGGAACCTTGATTTATCCGTTTCAAGGATCAATTAGATTCGACAAAATTGACCTTTATTCTCTTCTTGATGACAATGATGTAAGTACGAACACTGAATACTTCCTATAAATACTTCCTATAAATATTTTATATTTTATTTAATTTTATATATATAAAACTTTAACTTTATTTAATCTTTTATAATACAAATTAATATTAATTCTTATTTTATGCCATAAAAAAGAAGTAAAAATAGAATAATATTTCAAATATATTAAATATATATATATATATATATTTATTCAAATAAATCCCACAGTTCTCTGAGCGGCATCTTGAGGACGTCCTTATGATGTAGACGTCCTTTGGACATCCCGTAGAACTGTATTGCAGGATGTTTTCTCACGCTAGTGATAAATTTAATACAAAATACGGAAGACATTCAAAAAATGTATAAAGTATAATAACAACAATCTATACATCGATATCACTCTGTGATTATAACAAACTTGTTCCAGAAGAAAAATTATATCACAAAAATATCTCTATTGAGTGTTATTTGAAAAAAATTAAATAATAAACCTTCCTTCTTCTACTTATTAAAATAAGTACTGCCAAAAAAGAATTCGATATCAATGCGTATATTGTCGATGTGTTTTTAGATCAGACGCGAATATGGTTGCTATGACGAAGTCTTCTTCTCCAATTATAATCTTAACAAGCGTCAATGTAACTGGATAAGATTTCTCCGTATCGTTCAATCATACGATGAACAAGTTAATTTGATTGGTACAAAGGTAAAGGGTAAGTCTCGAAAACAATGTCTAGTTTGATAAGTTTTTAAATCCTGGATAATAGTAGTGGCTATATTGAAGTTATTAATTAATATTAATGTAACTTCAATATAATTACTTGTAGCGTCAAAAAAAAAATTAAATTAAAACAGAAATAAGTCAAATATAATGTAATAAAAATTATTGAATTAAATTATAGACTAAGAAAAAAGAGTTTATTTAACATTAATTATTTAATATTTTTTGTTTATTTTCTATATATGTGTGATCATTAAATATTTGTTCCTTCTATTATGTTCTTATCTTCTATAATCTTATCTTCCCAAATGGCGCACAGTAGCGCTTGCAAAACGCTAAAAAAGCGATTATTTATTATATGAACTATATAATATAGTTTTTTTGTTAATGCTTTGTAAGCGCTGTATATTATTTGAGTTTTTAAGTACTTATAATTTATTTTTAAAAAATAGTAAGCGTTTAAAAGATTTTGTAAAATTATATTTAATATATAGGTAAAACAAAAACTAGAAATTTTGTACAATTGACAATATGTTAATGATAATATCTTTTTATAATAATTTTGTGGCTTTCACGGATGTTTTCTTCAAAAGTGTTAAAGGTTTCACAAAACATTGGTATTAGCAATGGATCGCGACACGACGATAATCCATGAACTCTTTGACATCTCTGAACATCTTTTTATTTGATACTTTTCTTTAAGCTTTCCTTTTCTTTTATTTCCTTAGGCGAACCTATATTTGAAGTGATAAAGAATGTTCAACCGGACACGGAGCTGGTAGCTTGGTTTTTGCCAGTAACACAGCAGGATATCGTTATCATTTCGCATGATGTATGCTCCAGATCGGCAATCTACAGGTGCACGATCGATTCTATTTTAGACGGTGAGTGGAAGACATAAGACTTAAAATATTGCTAGTAAACATCATTGCAAAAATATGATTTTAATGTGCTTAAATCATTTAAGAAATTCTTATAACTTTTACGACGTAAATATAAAACTGATTCTCGAAAGCACTTTAGATATATTATAAATAAAGTATCGTTGCAGCTAATAATTATTTTCAAATTATTGATAAAAAGAATGCAATAGAATATATAATAAAATGAAATAATAATTAATCTTAATTAATTTAATATCTATTTTGTGTTGTGCTGATACAATACAAAACCAGGAAAATTCGCACACCAAGGATGACTTTCAAATAACGACTCCGAAATTATTCATTAGGTTGTGTATTCACTCAAAAAAAAATTAATTAATTTGTTAAGGCAAGTGATGTAACATTGCATGTTATCAGATTTGACTTTTGGATATATGCGTAGAAACAGAAATCTTGAGCGAACGAATCGGAAATCTTGCGCGGACGGAACGAAAATCTTTACATACGAACGTAAACGAAATTTTGCAGCAGAGATTTTTCGCTATTCTCACACTAAAATCTTATTCCTTTCGCAAATGAAATGTTTACTTGTGGAAGTTAGTAATACATAACTTGGCGATTTGATGCTGATATTCGATTTGATTTCAATTAATATTGAGTATCGAAAATACATAAGATCGGTCAGCGAAGATGCAAAATCAAAAATATAGAGAAGCGCAAAAGATAATGTTAAAACGATCCATATTAATCAGGATCTGGCAGTAATCGATTTATATCTTTATTACATGCTTAATAGTATATCATAATTCGAAAACTGAAGATTATTATACATTTTGCGATTAAAATTATTTGAATATAAGTAATTTTAATATTATATATTTATAATTAAATTACCTTTCATTCTTTTATATTCTTGTCGCGGAATATACATATATATGTACATATATATATACATTAAGAATTCAAAATTAAAAAGAAATTTATTTATCTGTGTAATTTGCACTTTATTCTGTACTCTTCCATTTTTAAATTCAAATAAAAATATCGCGTTCCAATATTGTAACTAAAGGTCGCCTAGCTATTCTACAGCTATTGTACATTGTACTGTCCTTTATCTTTGGTTTACATGCGCAGGAACAGTGGCAGCCTATACATTTAAATCGGAACTCACGAACCTTGTGATCCGTCCGACAAAAACGCCGGCCGCATATTTGCATTTCAGATCGTTTTCGATATCCTGTTTTTTCTTTTCGATTGCGCTGCGATTATAGCTAAACGATCACAATGGTGATCGATCAGTTGAGGAGATGAAAGACTAACATGAAATTGCCGCAAATTATTTCTGTTCGATTTTTATTTAATATCTTAAAGCAAATGAAAATAAAATAATCTGCTCTGTTTTTTGTTCCTATAATAGTAAAGTTATATAGTATCAATATAATATCAACGAAACAATGTTATGCTATATAACACGCAACAAATGCAACAATTATATTATTGTTTGTTATTATAACATATAAATAACATATAAATAACATATAAATAACATATAAATAATAGCTTAATAATCTAGTTATATTATATATAATATAAAGTGTAAGGCAATACAATTATAACATATATAGAATATAAATCATCAATTATATTGCTCGTTTCTTCCACGTTATATTTTATTCATATTTGGTGTTTGGGCATAGACCTCGATTATATGTTCTATTTAAATGGATATTCATTATTAGTTCGTAGGATTTACATAAAACGGCTCGTATTCAATGTAGTCCGAAGCTGTGACAAACGGACGTTCAGTGGACGTCCAGACGACCACGTATAAATACAGAACATCCATAGGATGTCCATGTGCTATCTGGGTGCATGACCAAAATTAACTAAATTATTTAAAATTAAGTTATGCATTTTATTAAAAACTTTTTAAAAACGAATATTGAAAGTTAGCGTTCTCTCTCTCTCTCTCTCTTGCTCTCTTCTCAAATTGCTTGAGAATGAAATCAATAGAAAGTTTTTACTTGAATTATTCATAGAATCCCCGCTGGATCTTTCGATGACATTACTCGCTCATCATTCTTTGCCAGCGATATCACATTCTTATTACGAGCTGGATGAATATGAATCGACGTCTGAGGAATCCACATCATCAACGCTGTCATTGGCCGGTGATCATCTCGATTGCAGTATCCTGACAACGATTAAGAGAGGAGAGAGGGTTTTATTACCTTGTGAAGTCTGTGGCAAGTCCTTCGACCGGCCATCTCTTCTAAAACGACATATGAGAACGCATACAGGTATGAAACAGAATCCTAAAGATTATGATTATTCGGATACTGAGATTCTCTCATTGTATTTATTTTATATCAATTTATATTATATTTATATTATATATCAGCTTATTAATACTTGCTTTTACACACGCGTAGCTAATTAAAACTTTGTAATCTCCAGAGCTGAGTATGTTTTTGAAATATTTTTATTTGAAAAACAGTAACACAATTGCATTTTGTGTTATGTATTTCAGCGGAGCACATAAAAGTATTTTGTATTTCGTTAATTTCAAAGCAAAAGATTAAAAGTATATTTTGCATTTTGTATTTTAAATACTAAGATTGACAATCAATGTGAATTACAAAATACAAAATACTTTTATGTGATCCGCTGAAATACGAAATACAAAATACAATTGTATTTTAAATATGACTGTGTTTAAAATAAAAGTATTGCAAATACGTGCCCAGCTTTGGTGATCTTCTAATATCTTAAAATTGTTATTGTTAGATTCAGTAGTTTTGAGCACAAAAGTTAAAAGTTATTTAAATTTATAAGTAGTTTAATTTTATTTTTATTATTAATTCAAAAATAGCGAAATTCAATTTTTCTTATATTGAAAAAGATAATTCATTATTTATTTTCAGGATATTCATGATTATCCATATAAATATGTTCTTTTTGCGAAAATAAATATGTTAAACAAGGACAATTCTCTCTCTCTTTAAAGTAACAAAAACAAAATTAATCTGGTCTAATGAGAGTCAGCGCGAGAGAAGGTGCACAATAAAATTTTAATAAATAAATCTATTACTCTATTTAATGTCTTCTTTATTTAAAATCTTCCGATTCTCTTTGGAATCTTCATCAGCAATATTCTTAATCCATATTAGATTTCGCGAACGGTCAAGTATATAAATTAAACAGATTACACTACAGTTTTGACAACTTGTGAGTGACTCTACCTTGACCGTTCGCGAAATCTAATATGGATTAAGAATATTGCTGATGAAGATTCCAAAGAGAATCGAAACATTCAATGATTTTTCAAGATTTTAAATAAAAAAGACATCAATACATCAAATGGAATAACAAATTTATTTAAAATTTTATTGCGCACTTCCTCTCACGCTGATTCTCATTAGCTTCTCATTAGCCCAGATTAATTTTGTTTTTACTTTTTGCGAAATTCAATTTAAATCTATTCCATTTTAATGATTTAAATATACTGGATTAATATATTTGGATAATCAAACAAAAAATGTAAAATGTTTATACAACTGGATATGATATAAATTCCAAATAATATTTTTGTCAAATTAAATAAATTTTAAGTGTTGCATAATTTGTAGCGCGATTTCCGACAACGTACATTGTAAAATCCTCACCGTTTTTGCCTAATAATCGAAATAAATTGTGCACGTTTACAGAAAAGTACCATTGTTCATATTTAATTCAAGTCAGATATTATAAGTGTGAGAAATTAATGCGATTTCATGAATGATATTAAATCGTAGGGGAAAAACCGCATGTCTGCATGGTGTGCAACAAGGGTTTTTCAACATCGAGCTCGTTGAATACGCATAAGCGTATCCATAGCGGCGAAAAGCCTCATCAGTGTCTTGTTTGCGGAAAAAAGTTTACAGCCTCATCAAATCTATACTATCATAGGATGACTCATATCAAGGTAAGTGGGCGAATATTTATTAGGGTAGAGCGAAGCTAGTTGTGATATTTTCTATTATTTTGTATCTTTATACAATTATAACAGAATAATGAGACTTACTTTAAAACGTTGCATGTCCAGTTGACTCAAACAATAATTAAATACTTATAAATCCTTTATATATTTCATAAATAAGAAAAAAGTTTTGTTACAAAGAGGCTCAATGGACTCCATATGGAACATGTTTAAACAACTTTAAAGAGTAAGTTGAGAGATAAAGCTAATTGTTTAATAAAGTTATATGTTATTAAAATGATTATGTATACATTGATATGGTAATAAAACAGTATTGAAAAGAGGGAAAAATTTTATTTTATAAAGTTAGAATTGAAAATTAATTTAATTAGTTCGTTATATGAGTAAATCCACAATAAAACAATTTATAATACAATTAATTTAATATTTAATTTATTTACTTTTACTCTTGTCAAGATAAGATAGACACTTATAGATTGTGCATATGTAAATTAAAATACTTATTTTTATCTACTACATTTATAATCTAAACTTCTGAATCAATGATTAATATCTACTTATCAATATCTATTTATAGAAGAATATTTTATATTATATTCCAGGAGTATTATATTATCTAAAATAATATATTGAACGTCTAATCAATAAAATATATATGTGATTGTGTGAATGAAAATTTATACGAATGGCACTTTCTCTCACTGTATAGAATGTATGATATGATTGTAATTTTAGTTGGACAGTAATAAAACATAAGCTAACTCTCTTATTTGATATTCAAAAGTAAGTAATAATAATAGATACTGTAAATGTACGTATTAACATAATTAATAAAAAAGAGATTAAAATGAAACAAATTCAAATTTAAACCCAAACGCTAAATATAAAAATTCAAAATTATTTATCTCAAATAATGTTTTAATATTTATTGAATAAAGATTAAAAAAAAATAGTAATTGTCTGTTTCTGTTCAGAAAGCTTTTAATTTCGTGAAGAAATTATTTGGAAACTTAAAGGAAAAGTAGATCATGAATCCACGATAAAATAATAAAATACTTAAAACTGCATAATTACTAAAGGCACAAAAAGTAAAACTGTTGAATTAGAAAGTAAGTTCGATTTGTTTTTTAAGATGGAATAAAACACATTTTTTTTAAACACAAAATAAAGTTTTAATAATTATATGATTTAATACAGCAAAGTTTAGTTTTAAGAATGTTTTTTTTTTTTAATTGTACGATTTTTAATCAAATTATGAGCAATCAAAATCAGAATGCGGGTATAACCCGCAAAAGTAACAAAAAAAACATAGGAACATTTTTTAAAAACGAATTTTGAAAAAAATCTTTAAGTTTTCATATCAGACAGTCGAGAATCTTTGCAAATCTTTTTTGGACACATGACAGACCCACAAAGTGAGAAAAAAATTTTCCACTTCTTTTAACTCGTAATTTTCTATATGTAAAAATTACCAAATTCACATAAACTCAAAAAATATAATTTTTCAAAAAAGTAGAAATTTCAAGCTTTAAAACTCTTTTCTTAAATTTAAATTTCATTTATTTTTAACAAAAATATTATATATACAATTCTAAACTAACAAAACTGAATGAACTTATTTTCCAATCAATATTTGGATATGTGAGCAAAATTAATCATAAGAAAAAATATTATTAGAGAAGAAAGTGAAATAATAAATTTCGAGAAAATTAGAGCAAATAAGAGTGAAATGCGATAAATAGAGCGCAATAAATCTTACAATGTAATTTTAATACTTAAAACAACAGTGATTGTCATACATGGAGTTCGAACGTTTCGGCTTGTTTTAGAATTTTCATCAGCGATATACTTAATGTTTTTTTAATAACTTTCCCTCATTTCATCATAGCACGCCATTAATGGATCAAAAAATCTAAAGTGACATATGACCATTTGGTTATATATAAATGTAATAAATGAGACGTTCTGAAAACGAATGTAAATCGTATATAATTCTTAGGGATATATATATATATATATATATATATATATATATAAAACAATGAATTAAAAGTAACTTATCATAAGAAGATAAGCTAGGAACGGTGTTGACAAAGATAAAAGAAAGCGTTATTACAAGAAAATTAAGATAAAATCATGCAGATAAGACTCAATAATCAATATAATATAAAACATGTTAATGGTTCAAAGACAAAAGTGAGACTGTCGTTACTTATGAAAATTATACGTCAATTATTTAGGTCAAATACATACATAAATGAGCAATATATTCAAAACATGAAAATCAATAGTAAGAAATAACGAATGAATAACAAATCATATACTCTATTTAAATAAAATTTATTTAAAATTTAAAAATATGCATGCTACAAATAATCGATGTCGAATTGCAATGTTACTGTTATCCTACATTTGTACATATAGCACCTCAAATATCAATTATCTTCCCCTAAAAAGTTTCCGATCTAATATTTTGATATTTTCCTAATCAAAATCATGTTTAATAAAATTTTATAATCATCGAATTAGTCTTTAGTGAAGTTATTAATGTGTCGATGTTTTTATACTCTCGTTCTTGTCTAGTTTGTCTTACACAAGACGCATTATAGTTCGTGCAGGAAATTTTATAATATAAATAACATTATAAATAACATTTTTGTATGTAAAAAACTAATTTTATGTAAGCTAATTTCATTTAAATTTTTGGTAATGCTTTTTTTATTTGATATTACTGGAATACAAACGGCGATATTAATTCCTTCCTCTGAGATCCATATTTTGTGCCTTGTCCGTTTGTAAAATAAAGATTTCATTCTTAATTGTTTCAATAATAAAAAAAAAAGAAACAATGAATCATTAATAATGTAATGGGAAACAATACATTATCAATAATGTAATGGAAACAATGAATTATTATTAATGTAATGGAAAAAAATACACAAAAGTGATTAAATATAACATATTATTAACTTATATGCGATTAACGAAAATCTTTGATTTATACAATACTTTAGACAGAAATATGCACAAAAATATAATATTTAATTTATAGTGTGTATTTGTGCGAGCCTTATATAACATACAGAGTTCAGATTTTAATTATTATGAACCACAATTAATAATACACCGGCAATTAATAATATAAAATATTTGATTTAAAATCGATTTTTTACTTTCAAAATTAAAAATAAAAAAAAACATTAACATTTTAAGTCGTTATAAATATCTCAAATTTATGGAATTATTATTAATTCAATCATTTGAAATTTTCCTATGTGCTCGTATCGTACCCTCAACCGTTTTGCCTTTTATGTAAGCTTGGTAAATAGTATTGGAATACTCAATGAAAAAAAGCCGAGCAATGATCGTATAAAACGATTGAAGGAAAAACAGTGTATGTGCGAAAGATATAAAATTTTTATTTATCGCGAAAACTGTATGAGTTTCTCTAACCTCACTTGAAGTAATGATATCTTGGTAGCTATATAGGTTGGTCTGCCATCAGCTACTGTAATTGGCCCATTACTTGCTACCGCATGGAATGTGATCCAATTAGGGAGACAGAGAATGTACAGAGCCGGAGGCAAAGGCTTCTCGCCGTTACTTACCCTCCTGCTCCCTCCCTTCCTCTTGCTCTTCCACACGTTCTACAGTCATCCTGCTGCTCCTTCCGCGCGAGTCATTTTATTCTGATTTTTCCTTTCCGCCTCGCCATCTTCACATCTTCTCTTCTCGCTCTTCTTGCGCTGTGAGATTCTTCCGAATTTCATCTTCTTATTTATTTCGCACACAAATTCTTGGCAATACAAATGTTTTAACAAGAATTGATGTTTGATTAACGATTTAATAGAAACAGGAATTTTTTAAATAGAAATTTTTATTCTAATTAAGTATGAAGAATTTTTATTTTCGGTCAAACTATATAATTACTATGCTACGTGGGAACAAGCAGTTCTGGCTCCCACCTGCTACAATATTTGCAGTCTCACTTTTGTCTGGTCACGACTAACATGTTTTATCTTATTGACTACTGATGTTTAACTATAATGATTTGCGTAACTCTATTTAAAAGTTCTTGTGAATATGATTTCTCTATTCGTAGTTAACACGTTCTTATTCCTTTTATGAACTTCTTACGTATATTATTTTTACAACCAAATTCTTGCACTTCACTTTAGATCGTCCAATCTATTATTATATAGTGGCTGCTTTGTAGAATGAGAAATTAATGTGTCAAATCTTTAGAAAAGCAATGTATCGCTGATGACTCTAAAGCGAGTCGAAATGTTCAACATATATATGTGTATAGAAGGAAAATGTTATTGTGTGTATATTATAATAATACGATATTTCTATTCTACGCACGTAATTGAATAAAAATATGGAATAAGAATGGGAACCAGTGAAAAACAACAATTTTAAGAACAGAGAAGTTGTTTCGATATATAAAGAATATGTAAAGTAAAATATATTTGAATTATTTCGTATATGTCCACTACAAAATATTTGTTATGCTTTTCCAGGAAAAACCACACAAGTGTTCGCAATGTTCAAAATCATTTCCGACGCCGGGTGACCTGAAGAGTCACACGTATGTGCATAATGGACTGTGGCCGTTTAGATGTCACATTTGCAGTCGCGGTTTCAGCAAACCAACCAATTTGAAGAATCACATGTTGCTTCATCTCGGTAGATGCTCCAATAAGAAATATATTAAGTCTATCTCTGACTTCTGACTGAGTGTTAATGTGTTATTTCATATAAAAGTTTAAAAATTATTGATTTATGTATATATACAAATAATGTGCCATTATATATATATATTGATCAAACACGTAATTTGAGATAAAAGGACAATTAGGATAACTGTTCCTATTAGTATGCCTTTTTTTAAATATGCCAGAAAGAAAACTAGCACTAATAAATAAAAAAGTATCTTTTTTATTAAGTTAAATTATTAATATATACGATACCAAAGGTAAATATTTCATTTTTTAAAGTGTAGTAAACATTTTTCGAAAGATATAAAGAATTTATGTGAGTTTAATACTACAAGATTTTAAGCTTATTCCTATTAGTATGCCCTGCTCTTATAGTACAAATTTCCGAAGAACGTTTTGAGAACGTTTCCAGGAAGATCTCTGGGATAAAGTGTGCTGTATGGATGTATTGAACCTGAAAGCGTTCAGTTATAAGTATACATTGAAATTATAAATATAATTAAAATAATGATTAATGGAATATTAACTTAAATTATTAACTCACATCTACCATCTGTGTGTGTTTTGCTATCTACATATATATATTAAACGAGTTAAATACCGAGGCACACAAATTAGGGGCACATGAATAAAGCCATCGCCTTTGAAGGACACACTAATAGGGTCAAAAACATTTATTTTTATCAAAAACGTTAAATATTAACATTTTTTACATTAAAAGGTATTACAAGAAAAAGAAATAGTTGAAAAATCGATATTGATTTCGAGCAGACAAAAGCTACAATATTTAATAACTAATTCAGTAATGAGCAAGTTAGCTTAAAGGTACACTAATAAGGACAGTTACCTTATATATGAATTCTTTTATATTACAATTGATTCAGATCATATTCAAGTCTGAATACTTGCTCACAATATTAACTTTTACGAAACTTCTTAGTTATCTAATTCAATATATTGTACTATTACAAATATTCCACTATACAATTAATATGTAGTCTTTCAAATGAGCATTAATGTATCCTAGAGACCCTCTAATAACAATCTGGACACAAATCTTATTTTGTATACATTTCTAGTTTTAGGAAAATCATAAGAGAGATCATATACTCGTTGTTTCTTTCTCTTCCTGTTTTATCCTTTTTTCATTTTCTTCGTTTCTCTTTTTCTTCTTTTCAATAGTTATTAAAGTTGAAAAGTTTCAATAATTGTTATGGATCAATAAAAAATGGCTATTCCGTACCCAGACTTTTATTAGAGGGTCTTTAATATATTCATAAGAGTGCGGTTCTTTCTGTCAATGTGTAAGGAACACCTGGGCATCATAAACTATAAAAGGAAGATGTATAAAAGTCGATTTCTGCAATTGGGAAGTAAAATTTTGAATGGTTTTTTTATTACATAGTATAATTTTTAGGCTGCAGAATTACGTGATGCAATTAGTTTTCTGTAAACAGGGAACATGTGTAAAAATGTGAAAGATGTGAGTAAATAAGCACAGATGTACCATAAAAATGAGATACACTTAATGATCTTTTTACGAAATGTAATTAACTTTTAAAAACTAGTAAATGTATGACATTTTGTTGACAGATTTAAAATTGAGGAAGAAATAAATGTACAGAAACTCTGAAAATATAAGTCGATAATAAAAATATCAGTTTTCATAATTAAATATCACTATTTAACGTGGAAAACTGTGCAATTTTTGCTAAATATCGACAACTCAACTTATGCCATATAACAATATATAACCTGATGCAACCTAATCTGACCTCATTTAATCCATTCTAACTATATACAGATATTCAAAAATATACATACAAATGATTGCTCACATATATATGTATGCAAAGCAATTAAGAAATCAAATCAAAGTCAACAAACTGAAACGAATCAAGTAAGATGACTAGAATAATTTTATTCATATTATAATCAATAATAAAAAAATAATTTTACGAAACGTTTTGAACTTTATTTAGCCTTTTTCAGCCATAAAAATTCTTTCAAAATAACATTAAATACGATGTAGCGCTCAAAAACAAAATTAATTAAATGATTCAAACGAACACATCTCATCTACGTTCCAATGCTGAAGTTCGAAATAGAAGAAATATTGAAAGAAAAATGGTATTATATATTGTTTCTCAATATAATCTTCTTTAAATTCGATACATTTGGTACATCCCTTTGAAAACATCTCCATGTCTTTAAAACATAATTTTTATCCTTAGTCTCAAAATAGACTTTAACGGCTTAAAGCTCTTCGTAAGATGATGAATAAAATTTCCACCCTCGCAAGTTTGTGAAAAAATGTGGATTCCAAGAAATTTCTTATCTACTCTACAATCCAGATTTGGCTCCGAATAATTACTATCTGGTTCGCTAAAATCAGATTTACGAAAGAGGAGATTTCATACTTGAATGATGAAGAGTTTCAAGCCGTTGAAGTCTATTTTGAGATACTAAGGATAAAAATTATTTATTTAATGGCATAGAGATGTACAAAGTGTATTGAATTTAAGGGAGATTATATTTAAAAAATAACGTTTTTTCCTTTCAACATTTCTTCTATTTCGGGTAAGAAACTTCTTGAACTGGTTTTATTACGTAGATATATCTAGATTTTCGGAATTTCTTTTCTTTTAAATATAAAAAAAAATATTCGAGGCTTAGTAGTTGCTATAAACTGCTATAAACAGCCTCAAAGTCATACATTGAAATATTATCAACATGTTCACTTCTATAAGGTACCTTCTTGTTGGAATTAAAAAAAAATGATTGATATAGACATTTTCAACATAAAAAGGAGAAGTTAAAAATTTTAACCGTAAGCGGATAACTATATGCAATTATCATTTCGAAAGTATATACATTCATAAAAGATATCTTATTTATCAATGAAAGCTTGAGAAACCTTCGAAAAATAATAAAGTTGGTTGTTTGAACGCATTGCAAAAATTTATTTTGTTTCCAATAAATGATGATAGATTTTAAAACGTAATGACTAAAAAACTCTACGAGAAAACGTTATATTGTATAATTGAAGAAATTTGTAGAAAAATTTTATTCTTTCCGTACACGTCGTCAAAGTTGAAGTTTGTTCTTTATTTTTCGAGGTTCACTTTAAATTACATTTGTAGAGAAATCGTTGCAGAAATACGTGATTTGAAGTATTCGAAAAAGCTAAAATTTCAGGATTTAAAACATCATTCTATGATCATTTTTCGCAAAAATACGTATCCTTGACTTTGATCCTTTATAATGCTGAGTTTACATGATCTTATAATTTTATTTTGTGTTTTGTGTGTGTGTGCGTGCGTATGTGTGTGTGTGTGTGTGTGTGTGTGTGTGTGTGTGTGTGTGTGTGTGTACAGGATGTCCCAGAATATTTGGGACAATGTGTGTTCAGAGCGAACTAGATTGATTGTAAGTCAAAAAGTCCTTTATTGTTTTGCAATCTTTGCGGTTAACGATATTAATTTCTAAAGATCTCTCAATAAGCACATATTTGCTCATATCTGTCGCTAAATACAAGCACGCGACGAGTTGTTTTTTTCCACCATGTATAATTATTGCCTCGATGTAGTAAACAATTTGCGCTTTTAGCGATTAGGCGTGCATTTGACGGCCGGACAGATACGCGTTTATTCGGCGATCTTCAAAAATTAATGTCTCGTTAAATTACGAAAATTGCAAATGATAGAAAACTTTTTAACTTAATTTAGTCTATTTTATTTGCACAAGCATTGTTCGAAATATTTTAAGATGTTTTATATACATACGTCCTATATACATATATGTGTGAATGTGTATGTATAGTGAAACGGCAAAAGTTTTGAGTAACCTAAATAACTCTAAATGGTTTGAGATATGAGATTGAAATTTATAGAAATGCAATGAAAATATCTATCGTCTTTGTCATCATCATCATCATCATCATCATCATCATCGTCATCGTCATCATCATCATCATCATCATCATCATCATCGTCATCATCATCATCATCGTTATCATCATCATTAACTTCTAAGCGAATGTGTTATGTGACCCTACGACCTATTTCTATTCAACAGCCTTACGATCTGTTTATATTTAACAGCCCATTTCTTTCTTGGACGTCCAATGTCTCTTCCTTAGGATCGATAGTAAATGCCATCTTTGGCAGTTCCGTGTCTTCCATGTGTGCTCATACCACTAGTTTTCGGTACTCCTTAATTTTCTCCTCGATGTCAGTGGACTCCTAAATTCTGTCTGATGTCATCATTTCTTATACAATCCATTCTTATTTTCTATCCTTTTGTTCATTATTTTCTCCTTGTTTTCCTGACAAGTTATTCTTGATTCAAGTAGATAGCAATTCTAATATTTTCCAATATCCATTTTCTCTTTCTACATCCATGTCCACAGCCTTTGTCGTCATCTTTGTCTCTGTCCAAAACGCTGCTATTGAAATTCTGATGGTCTATTGTTGATGAGAATTATTTGCCCTACTGTGCGCCATGTTGTTCTTGTCTTGGAAAATACTTCCAAACAAGCTCTCATACAACTTTACGTGCCATTTAAGATTATTCAGCCCCTTTTTCCTCTACTTCCTAGGGGTGTTAAGATGGCTGTTTTCGAAGTTAAATGATAAATGTTATGATTCCATTGTGTTCCTTTAAAGTTCAATGTTATATCTCGAACCATTCAAAAGTAATTTAGATGGAAACAGTGTACAGCTGGAACTTTTGGCGGACACTGTATAATATAAAATTGTCATTGTAATGCTATTTTCCTCGATTATTTCGGCGTTAAATTCCATTATATCAATTTTATTTAATGTTTAGATATCTTTAAATGAATATAATTTGCATAATTTCGTAGACAATTTATTTGATTAGATAATCGGTATGTGCTTTGTTAACTGGTGTAAACGCATTGTAAATTATGTATTGGATGATTATACATACTTCTCATTGCGTTTTATAATTTCGATTGTTGGAGTACAAAACGATGAGCCACATATCTTCTGTAATTATTCTATTAGACGGAACACAATTTGGAGATGTTTAGATTTTCACAATTTTCTTTGTCTTCTTTTTTTAAGTTTTTATACAATTTTAATTAACTCGTAGATACGCAATATTTTACGTAATTGCTATCTTTTAAATTTTTTAGTATTAGTACATGCCATAACCGCCGCTA